CTTCCAACAAGACAATGACCCTAAGCACACAGCTAAAATAACGAAGGAGCGGCTTCACAATAACTCCGTGACTGTTCTTGAATGGTCCAGCCAGAGCCCTGACTTAAACCCAATTGAGCATCTCTGGAGAGACCTGAAAATGGCTGTCCACCAACGTTTACCATCCAACCTGACAGAACTGGAGAGGATCTGCAAGGAGGAATGGCAGAGGATCCCCAAATGCAGGTGTGAAAAACTTGTTGCATCATTCCCAAAAAGACTCATGACTGTATTAGCTCAAAAGGGTGCTTCTACTAAGCACTGAGCACAGGGTCTGAATACTTATGACCATGTGATATTTCAGTTTTTCTTTTTTAATAAATCTGCAATAATGCCAAAAATTCTGTGTTTTTCTGTCAATATGGGGTGCTGTGTGTACATTAATGAGGAAAAAAATGAACTTAAATGATTTTAGCATATGGCTGCAATATAACAAGGAGTGAAAAATTTAAGGGGGTCTGAATACTTTCCGTACCCACTGTAGGTGTAGTCGTCTCAAGAGAAATCTAAGTAATGAGGCTGCATGATACCCAGTCTTTGAAAAATCATAGTCTGACTCAAAACTCTGTGTAAAAACTAGGGCTGTCAAAGTTAATGCGACAAGTTAACACAAATTCCTTTTAACGCCACTAATTTTTTTGACGTGAGACTAACAGACATTCTGTGATTATGACCCTCGGCCCGCCCCATAGTTTGGGAAATCGGGAAGCGATGTAGCAGCAGAAACCGATAAAGAAAAGGGTGTTTTGAGCAGCAAGTTCAGCTTCAAAGCCCTGCCAGATGGTCTCTCGACAAGACCACAGTTATTTGCATTTACCGTCGATGTGAACTGAGTTACCATCGGAGTACGTCGATTCCCAAATACCACCTGCTGGCCAAGCACACAGCTGATGCAGAGAGCCATCCTCCACCTCGCCAAAGGCAGACCATGATGAACACTGTGGATGACGAGGATTAAAATAACTCATATCACATCCAAAGAGGGCGCGTATGAACTGCCTTCACGAGCCACCACTCTAACAAAGATACACAACGTGTATAAAAACGAAAAAGCTAAAGCAGAGGACGCGCTGGGACAGACAAAAGCAGTCGGCTCAGCGGAGACCACTGGACTTTCTCTGTAATCAATCAGTAAGTGCCTTAGATTTGTGATTTTACTGCCTATTTAGATTTATGTTATTGCTCATCTACTTTATATTTCATTTATATTATGTGGTATTCATGTGGACGGCAAAGTAAGAATTTCATTGTACGGGGAAACGTGTCCTTACTGTGCATATGACAAACACTTTCACCTTGACCTTTGACCTTTAATGACAGTTACCTCAGGGTCCCTTTGAGGTGCATTTATAACCAGTGGTGGAAGAAATACTCAGACCCTTTACTGAAGTAGCAATACAACAGTGCCAAGTTCCTGCATTAACATGCAGGCAGAACATCGTAGCACAACATCATATTATACTTACTAACTCATCACATTTAATGTTGCAGCTGGTAAAGGGGGAGATAGATTTAACTAGATTATATGCAGTTAACTTGAAGCCCTGCTGGGTAGCTCATGACTTTTCCACAACAGATCTGCTGGGGTACAGCAACCTCACACACAGAGCCGCAGTACGCCATTATACTAGAACCGGCAGTAAAAATAAGAGTATTTGTTAAACTATGACTACATGTGCTAATGACTAATTCAGAGAAAATATCCATGTGAATATGCTGAATTGAAACTATTATTCTCTTAATTGATGAACAGAAAATTAACTCATTTAATTGATAAGTCAATTCAATGTTTAAGTAACGTTTTAGCACAAAGAAACTCTTAAATTCTGGTGGAAAGTAACCAAGTACATTTACTCAAATTCTGTACTCGAGCAGTTTTGAGGTGCCTGTACTTTGCTGGAGTATGTGCATGTTCTGCTAATTCATACTTGAACTTCACTACAAGTCAAATACAATTCTTGTACTTTCTACTGCACCACATGAACTTTCAGTATCTCCCCTACCAGTCATCTGGCAGGCCGCCCCCTGCCCAAAAAGGCACAAAGCAGGTGCATCTTATAGCCATTTAGCCGTTTTCATATAGGACGCGGTGGGCGCCGTGCTCTGCTATCAACCCTATTTATTTCTGTGTGCAGCACAAGAACATATCAAAAAAGTTCACCTTGGCCACAGTGCTCTGTGACCACATCTTGACAACAACAAGAAAATAAAGGAGCTGATTTTGGCAGACCCACACCCTCTTCGTCTTTGCTGCAGCTCGTCTCCTCCTCATCATCATCAAAACAGCTAAAGCCAGAGCCTAAAGCTACAGGTCTCTAGTTTAAGTTCTCTGTTTTTATCCATATTTATCTCATTTCAATGAACATTCCTTTGTTGTCTCATTGTTTACCGCCTGTTTATACTGCTTTTTCTGCATTGTTTGCACTGTTTGTTGATGTTAATTCTGCTTATTTTTGTTATATTACACAGCCTTCTGCTGGTCTACCATTTGCACATTGAGAGCCAATGTACCCGAGTCAAATTCCTCATTAGTCCGTCACACCTGGCCAATAAAGCCGATTCTGATTCTAAAACTACTGAACACATCCAGGCTGCAGAAACGTTTCTACGGCAACACCACCACAGTGTTTGTTTCCTCTGAACACACCTGAGTGTGAAGCAGGTGTTTGTCCATTCACACGAAAAACTCAGACCATGAAGAATAATGTAATGTTTCAGATTTTGTTCAATTTATTTGTATAGTACCAAATCACAACAAGAACAGCTGCTTCAGGGCACTTTACATAATCAGGTCTAGATCTTACACTGTTATAAGTTTCCCTATGTAATAATATTGATAACAGTAAGGTCTAGACCTTACTTTGTAAAGTGCCCTGAGATGACTTTTGTTGTGATTTGGCGCTATACAAATAAAATTTGATTTGATTTGATTTGATTTATAAGCAAAACCCAACAAATCCCCCTTGAGCAAGCACTTGAGCCAGTGTGGGAGGAAACACTGTGTAGATGCAGGTGGAGTTTACAGATGAAGTTACCAGAAGTCGGTGAGCGCAACAGGCTTAAGGTCTGGGGCCTCTGGAAATTTGGTCACTTTGACCAGTAAGTAATCCAGCCTTGTGACCGGTATTTGATCTGCAGGTGTGTCGGGCCAGGTGCGTTTTGGCTTTAGGTGGATTCTGTGCCCACGTACGTAAGCTGCAGCCCTCAATTCTGTCTGACAGGCTGCAGGTGGGTGAGGGGGCAAACATGACAAACACAGCAGGTCTCTTTCCGCCTGACACCGGGGCCGAACCGTCCCTGAACAACGCTCCGAACCAGCACCACCCCCCCATTAGTCCTTTAAAACGGGATAAACCCGCTGAGACCTCCTCCAGCCTAAGTGTGGCCCAGTTCACCACACAAGCGTCCCCCGACACACACAGCGAATAAACGGATACGAGCACGGCTAATCCGGCTCTGAGTTTACCTGTCCGCAGGCAGCGCTGCTCCGCCCGGATTTCCTTCACAGACAAGTCCGGGAGAGCGGGGAGAAGAGGAAACTTTAGCTGGAGCTCCGGTCTGTTCTTCCGGCGGGGCGAGAAGAGATGAGGAAGGGAGTGGACTCCGAACCGATCCGAGGCCAGAGAGGAGAAGCGGTCCGAGTGAGGAGGAGAATCGGCAGCAGCAACGCGCGGCTGAAAGGCTCCGTCGAACGAATACAAATCCACTCAGAGCCGCTCGGATAAAGTTGATCTGCTACTCCGCTCTGCTGTCGCCATCTTTTGCCATGGGGCATGACGGGTAATCCTCAGGAATCCCGATGCCCCTGTTAAATCCCCCGTCACGTCCTGCGTGCTGACGTCACGCATCGTAATCTGTGGATAAAATGGATACACACAATTATAAAAGATGTTTTACACCCGAGGAAGTACTCAGACAGCCTACTGAAATAGCAATACCACAAAGTACCCAGTCACAAGTAAAGTTCCGCATGAAAATACTATTTAAGTATATAATATATTGTGACGACCACTGGCTCAATTGAGAGGAGCTGGCCTGACCCTGTCCTATACTTGACAGTTAACTAGCCAGCGGTGTGCCGGCACCTGGCTCAACAAGGAGGAGGACACCTGGTTTGTCTTTTGTGGTTTTATTGAACGCAGTATGGAGACAAATGAAAACGCTGTCCAAACTGGCACCATGTGCTCTCTAAAGAAAATAATGAAAGAATAAACAACACATCTCCCGAACTTCACCATCGCCCGCCAACAGAACCAAAAAAACACGCCCACCTGTCATCCCTCTTATACCCTCCCGCACCTGTTCCTCCCCCCATCCCACATTGGCCAGAACAGCGCGGCATTTCGCAGAAAACAGCGGTAACCAATACATGCACAGCTTTCACAACAGTGTCACACCCATTTGCACACAACAGAACACACGAACATCAGCGACCAGTCAGGGTCACCACATAGCCCCCACCCGAGAGGGTTAGTGCCCCCACAACCCTCATCAGTCCAACACAAAGTCACTCAAATGTGTGGGGGCCCGGCGATCCCATCCACGCCATCAGACCCTCCCCCTGTACCACCAGAGTCACTAACCTCGTCGGGAGCGGTGGGGCAGTCCTCCGGGTCCGGTTCTGTCTCTGGTTCGGGGGCCAGCGGGAGGTATGGTGCCAGTCTGTCATTATGCAACACTACCCATCGGCCCCTCCCTGGCATACAAACCCGGAAGACAACATCTGACAACTGGTCCAAAACTTCGCCGGGGCCCTGCCAGTGCTGGGCCAACTTGGGTGACTGTCCTCGCTTCCTCTGCGGGCAGTAAACCCACACTCGGTCCCCAGGCCTCAGCACAGGTCCATGTGTCCTCAAGTCGTAAGCTCGTTTCTGGCCGGCCCCAGTGTCCACAAGGGCCTCTCTGGCCAACTGGTGGACCGAGCCCAAGCGCTCCTTCAACCGCTTAAAATAGTCCAGCTCTGGCCCACCAGGAATCTTCGGCTCAGGAGGCGGCCCAAACATTAAATCCACCGGGGTACGGATCTCCTGACCAAACATTAAAGCCGCTGGCGTGCAGCGGCTGGATTCCTGCACAGCTGTCCTGTAAGCCCACAGGACCAACAGCAGGTGTTGATCCCAGTCTCGCTGATGCTGGCTGGTGAGGGTCGCGAGCTGAGTGGCCAGGGTGCGGTTAAAGCATTCAACCAGTCCGTCGCTCTGAGGGTGCAGTGGTGTAGTCCATGTCTTTTTCACTCCCAGCCGCTGACATACCTCGCTGAATAGATGGCTCTCAAAGTTCCGCCCCTGGTCACTGTGCAGCTCCTC